GCAAAAGGCTAGCTAAAAGCTAACAGTAACAGAATGACAACTAAAAGCTAAATGTAGCAAAAGGCTAGCTAAAAGCTAACAGTAACAGAATGACAGCTAAAAGCTAAATGTAGCAAAAGGTTAGCTAAAAGCTAACAGTAACATAATGACAACTAAAAGTTAAATGTAGCAAAAGGCTAGCTAAAAGCTAACAGTAACAGAATGATAGCTAAAAGTAGTAAAGAGCTAGCTAAAAAATTTAAGCAAAATGGTAGCTAAATGCTAAACAGAGTAAAAAGGTGGCTAAAAGTAGCAGAAGAGTCGCATACCGTAATAACAAATTGGCAAAAAGATAGCTAGAAGGTAATAGTAAAGAAACTGGCTAAAAGCTATAGATGAAGTGGTCAAAAGCAAAAAGTATCAAAAGGTTAGCTAAAAGCTAACAATAGCAGAATGATAGCTAAAAGATAAATGTAGCAAAAGGCTAGTTAAAAGCAAAAGTAATTAAAGCCTGACTAAAAGATAAATCTACCAAAAGGGCTAGCCAAAAAAAATAAAAGCAGCAAAATGGTAGCTAAATGCTAAACAGAGTAAAATGATGACAGAAAGTAGCAGAAGAGTAGCAAAATAGAAAATTGGCAAAAGGATAGCTAGAAGGTAAACGGAGTAAAAGTCTGGCTAAAAGCTATATGTGTTTAAAGCAGCCAAGAGCAAAAAGTATCAAAAGCTTAGCTAAAAGCTAACAGTAGCAACCTGCCTTTAGCTACATTCAAGCCCATTTTACTTTTAACTGGTATTTTGAGACTTTTCTCTTTTAGCTGGTGTTATGCTACAATTTTTTAAGCTAATTTTCTTTTTTTTCAGCACGTTTCATCAAAGTCGTTCAGCTCTCAGTGTTTTCTCAGAAAAGGCCATTTCTTCAGTCAGAATAAACTCATTTCAGCTGATTTCTGTAAGAAAAGGCTGATATTTAGCTGCTGTGTGTTCTTGTTTTTTCTTTCCGACATCGTGGAGTTTTTTTAAGTCTGTGTTCGATTGCCAGCTCGGCAGAAATCTCTCCTTCCTTTTTATCTCCAACACCTCAAGGTTTGTTTGTTTAGTGAGAGGATTGTTTCCTGCAGTGTCCCTCAGCTGCTTAGCCGACTGTTCGCTTCCCGCTCCGTCTCCACGGTTCTAAACCTCCTGGAACGTATTTTTGAAGTGTCTCCAGCTGAGTCATCATCCAGACGTTTTTCCTCAGAGAAGGTGAAACGCTCCCAACACGGCACCTGCCTTCCTGTCTCACCGTTTGCTCTTCTTTGAATCCCAGCGGTGCGACCGGTCGGGCGACGGGCGTCTGGATCACGCAGAGATCGAGGAGTTCTGCAGGGAGCTGCTGCGGCGGCCGGAGCTGGACGCCGTGTTCAGGCACTACTCCAGCAACGGGAGCCGGCTGTCCACTGCGGAGCTGCGGGACTTCCTGGGAGATCAGGGAGAAGACGCCTCGCTGAAGCACGCTCAGAACCTCATACTGGCCTACGAGCGCAACGAGTTCGGTAGGTCCCTCAAACCGGTCGTTAAAGGGACTGCAGAGCGCGCTCCGTGAGGCGTTCAGGTGCTGGTCTCCTTTGTCTCTATGTGTCCCTGTGATGGACTGGAGACCTGTGTCTCCCGCCTCTCACCCAGTGACTGCTGGATATGGGCACCAGTGACCCAAAAAGGAAGAAGCAGGTAGTGAAAAAACAGCCAAAGTCCAAAGACAATACTGACGAAGATCAGTTTAAAGAACACGAGAAGGTCTGGCTGCTTGGAAGCAGCAGAACGACCCAAGACTTATGCACGGTACTTTACGTTAGGCTGCGTTAGTTTAAATGAAAAAGTCTTTAAAAGCGTCAGCGGGTGTAAAACGTATTTGCTGCCTCGTGCAGAAAAACCTGAGCAGAGATAACTTGTTGTCCCTCGCTGCAGCCCAGAAGAACCAGTTCATGACGCAGAGCGGCTTCTCCATGTACATGCTGTCCTACGAGACGGACGTCTTCAACCCCGACCAGGCCAGAGTCCACCAGGACATGAGCCGGCCCCTGGCCCACTACTTCATCTCCTCGTCGCACAACACCTACCTCACCAAGGACCAGGTCACCAGCGCCAGCAGCACCGAGCCGTACATCAGGTACACGGCCCCGTTCGCACCTGGCTCTTTAAATCCATCGGCTGATCCGACTGCAGGCGTTCGGCGCTGACTGAGAGCGTGCGCACCTGCCAGCTTAAACGTTTACCGGTTCGTACGCACGCGAAAACATCTGAGCCGTCAGACTTCAGCGGCTCTGCTGATATTTAATATTTACATTCAGACGTGTAAACTAGATTTGTTTAGACGTTAATCTGGTTTCAGAGACAGTTTGTTCATGTTTTTGTAGTTATTTCATGATTCTGTAAGAGGGAGAAGTATAAACAAGTGTGAATGCTTATTGCTTAAGAACTAGCTGAGAAACAGCTGAAATTAGCTAAAAACATGCTGAAATTGAAGAACAAGCCTAAGTTAGCAGATGAAAGCAGAAAGAGCACATATTTGATGAATTAGGTTCAAATAAGCAGAAATTAGTACAGAAATTAGGAAATTTGCTTAAAAAAAGCTGAAATTAGTCCCAAAAAAAGGTGAAAAAACATAAAGAAGCTCAACTATCAGAAGGAAGTGGAAGGAGTTAAAAAAAACATGGGATTAGCTGAAAAACATAAATTTAGCACAAAACAGCTAAAAAGTAACTGAAGTAGCAGAAGAAGGTGAAACTAGCAGAAAAAGTTGAAAGTGCATTACAAGCTGAAGTTAGCAGAAAGACGTTAATTAAGCTGAAAGTAGCAGAAATTACCACGAAAAACTTGACTTTATCTGAAAACAGCTGAAATTAATAAAAAAATGCTAAAAGGCTAGCTGAAAAAGTAGAACAAGCTTCAATTTGCAGAAGAAAGCAGAAAGAACATGTTTGCCCAATTAGGCTGAAAGAAGCAGAAATGAGCACAAAAAGGTGGAAATTATCTGAAAAAGGCTGAAATTAGCAAAAAAACAGCTGAAATGTAGCTTAAAAAAGCAGAAAGAAGCTTAAATTACAAAAAGGAAGTGGAGAGAGCACATTTTTGCTGAATTAAGTTGAAAAATGTTGAAATGAGCGCAAAAAATGTGTAATTACTTGAAAAAGCTAAAATTAACATAACAACAGCTAAATAGTAGCTGAAATAGTAGACAAGGCTGAAGCTTGCATCAATCAGCTGAAAGGAGCTTAACAAACTGAAATTAGCAGAAAAAAGTTAGAAGAAGCGCAGAAATGTTGTAGTTAGCTGAAAAAAATCTGAAAGGAGCACAAAACAGCTGAAAAATCAGCTGAAAGTAGCTGAAAAAAGTTTGAATTTGCACAAGGAAGCTGAAAGAATCTGAAGCAGAACAAAATGTGAAAGGAGCAGTAAAAGGTTGTAAACACATCTAAAGATTTGAAGGAGGTAAAATGAGCTCAGTTCACTTTCTATGAGAGAAGAAATGGCAGAAAAGGCTAAATGTTTCAAAAAGCTAAAGTTGCACCAACACCAAAAGTCATAGCAGGATTGTCCTGAAAGAGCCGAACGTTTTGGTGTTTGATTTGTTGATGTAGAAACTGCGGGACGAGAAATGTACTTAAAGTAAAATGAGTCACAGTAGAGTGAATGCTTCATAAATGTTAGTGACTCGAGCAAAGATGGAAGATTTGAACCAGCAGACCTCCTCGGTGCGCCGACCAGCTAAACAGCTTCACCTGCACAGGTGTGACGAAGCTAAACTTGCACGTCTTCACCTCACTTTACCTGGAGAAGGAAAAACATTCATCACTTGTGCTTGCAGAACTCCAGTGAACAGTTTCTGCGTCGAGCCGAATCAACCTCCAAGAAATTGTTGTAAATTTCCTTTAATTGAACATTTGAGCTACGTTTACCGTAAACGTTGCCTCTGCCTGCTGGACGGGCACCACAGAGGCTGGGAAAACCCCCGTTCCTCCAGTCACGATTCCCTCCTAGAATAAGAGTCAGTTTGTCCGAACGTAGAAACTTCAGACAGGCACTTAAAACTTTTAGCCGGATAAAATAACGATGCATCAACAGAACCTCCACTTATCTCGCATGAGCCGACAGCTGAGTCAAACGTGCAGGTAGTAGCTCTGCTGCGGTCACGTCAGCTCGGTTTGACGTCCTACAGCTTGACAGATCGTGTGCAGACTACAGGACGTACGTGGGTGGAAGGAGTCGTAGCTCAGACTCTAGTTAGCACCACCTTAATGCAATCGGTTGATGCGTATCTCACGGGGCTGCAAGTCGCTCAAAATTACGCATCGTCTCCCAGTTCTGATCTCCGGCTAGTCCCCAGTGACAAACTGCCGATAGCAGGATGTATTTAAACACCGGCCTTCACCTTTAAAACGTTAATTTAGGGGTTGGTGCACGTCTGTGACGTTACTGTGAACGTCTCTGTCAGAGCTTTGATTCAGGGCTGCCGCTGTGTGGAGCTGGACTGCTGGGACGGGGATAAAGGCGAGCCCGTCATCTACCACGGCCACACCCTTACCTCCAAGGTTCCTTTCAAAGAGGTTATCGAAACCATCTCGCAGTACGCCTTCAAGGTAAGCGTCATTCTCTGAGCTGCGACGGCACGCCGCTCCCCCTCCCGTCCCCCCCCCCCGCTCTTACTTTCACTTCCTGTTGTTACACTTGAGAAGCTAAACGGAAGCTGTGCTTTCCCCTGCAGGCGTCCCCCTACCCTCTGATCCTGTCCTTGGAGAATCACTGTTCTGTGGAGCAGCAGGCGGTCATGGCCAAACACCTCCGCACCATCCTGGGCAGAAAACTGCTCACCAAAGCTCTCACCGACCTGCCGCTGAAGGAGCTGCCGTCTCCTGAAGTATTCACACACAGCTGGTTCCTCCTTCGACGCTGATTGAGGCCGTGCACTCCTTCCTACGCTTTTCAACGGTGGCACCTCTCGCTGTCACTGTGCCGCGTGATGTGTGCTACTACGCGTATAGGTGTTCTGAGTTACCGTGGCGACATAATTTTCCAAAAAATTTACTTAAAAAACTTAGGATTGCTTAGAGAATGCTTCAAGTTAGTTACAACCGTAAACTCTTTGAGATGTCTCGTTAACCACCGGACGGAAACGATTTAAATTTCTCATAAAGCATTCATTGGAGACTCTTCCACAACTTGTGCCAGGCTGATTCAAAATGGCCGCCACAGCAAACTTAACAAAAACGTTGAAATGCGGACGCATTACCGTATAGTCTCCGTACGACTTCTGATCCGCTCAAGATAATTTAAAGAAACGTTGTACACCTGTTTGTCATCACTAGGCGGAGTGTTGCGTAATCCTTTCATCAGCTGTAAGGTCAAGGTCACTCTAAGGTCAAAGGTTATACAAGCCTTTGCTTATCTGGTCATTGCTATAGATAGCTGTATAACGTTTGTTTACAGGCGTATAATGTGTCGTGCTCTTCGAGACACTGAGCCGCAGTTTGCCGAGGTAGTAGCTGATAGTGATCTCTAACACGTGCACCGACGGCGCCAAGATTCCCGGTTTTAACTTTTCCTCCACAAACGTTTCCCGCAGGAGCTCAAGTGGCGCATTCTGGTGAAGGGGAAGAAGGAGACGCCTCACCTCGACCAGCTGAACAAGAACGGGAGCTTCGCCAGCTTCTCCTCCAGCACCGAAGAAGAACCGGCGAGCGGCAACAGGAGCACGCCCAAGACCGACCCCGCGAAGGTGCGTTCAGGAGGAGGCGGGTCTGAGATGCTTTTACGGGCCGCGTCCAAGCCAATCGTTCTGTTCTCCGTCGCGTTTCTGTTCCCAGGTCTGCACTAAGCTCAGCCCCGAGCTGTCGGAGCTGGTCGTGTACTGCAGGAGCGTCGCCTTCCGAGGCTTTGAAAACGCGACCAAAACACCTTCGAGCGAACTGTCGTCCTTCTCCGAGAGCGAGGCGCTCAAACTCATCAAAGACTCCGGTACAACGCAGGAAATGGCTGCCTCTTGACTGACTTCTGATCTTGCGTTCAGCTTGATGGCTACTCGATCAGCATCCTGTTTTTTTGTGTGTTTTCTTTTGCAGGGAAGCTTTTTGTGCGACACAACAGCAGGCAGCTGAGCCGGATCTACCCCTCCGGCCAGCGCCTGCAATCATCCAACTATGATCCTCAGGAAATGTGGAACTGCGGCTGCCAGATGGGTCGGTACTCGAAGAACTTGAATTTTAAATGCATTTGATTAGAAAATGTGTCTTTTTGTGCTAAAAATGAGTTCTTTATGACGGACTGTAAGTGTTTGTGTCCTTCCCTTCAGTGGCGCTGAACTTCCAGACGCCCGGGGAGCAGATGGACCTGAACCAGGGTCGCTTCCTCCCAAACGGTCGCTGCGGCTACGTCCTCAAGCCCGACTTCTTGTGCAGCCCCAAGTCTGACTTTGACCCTGAGAACACAGGCGGGGGTCCTGGTCACACCCCCACCCAGCTGAATATACGAGTGAGCTGTGAACTCTGCAGTGAATATCACAGAGAACTGGGAACGTTGGCAGAAAATCTCATCTTTCACTTGATTTACACAACGATGTTTAGAGAACCAGTTGTCCTTTCTTGCTTTTCTTTAAAAAATCATCTATTCAGGACACGCAAACGGTTTGAAGCTCAGCTGGTTTGATCTTATTTATCATTTAGATAAATGTTTCATGAGGTCTAGACTGAAGCCTTATCAGTGCATTTTTCAGCTTTCCACCTAAAATACATAAACACACTGCTGACGCGTTTCTAATCCACATTTCCTGTTTCCTTTTTGTGTTGCAGATAATATCCGCACAGCAGCTGCCGAAGATCAACACAGAGAAAGCCAGCTCCATCGTGGATCCGCAAGTGTGGGTGGAAATCCACGGGGTGGCGATCGATAACGCGAAGAAGAAAACCCACCGCATCGACAACAACGGTAACTTCAAGTCTGGGAAATTACGTGTTAAAAACGAAGCATTTATCGTGCACGTGTCGAATTAACGCCTTGCTGTAATCGCTTTATCTGGTATTTTTATTTTGCAATTAAAAAATTACCAAAAAAAAAAAAACATTTTCTGCTAAAATGCTGCGTGAACACTGTTTGTAAATATAAACTTTTTTTTTTTTTAAATTGGCACGACTGTAACTGAAATGAGTAAAAGTGTAACGAAAACCAACAAAACAAATGGTGAAGATAAAACCAGAAAAAAGTAGTTAATGGTAAATTTTAACAAAGTAGAAGCTAAAATTAACAAAACTGTCCAAAATGTAAGAAGCAGAACTGCACCTAGAATTTACAGAAGCCGGAAACAAAAAGCAAAAATAAGTGAAACAGTAACTGAAATTAGTATCAACCACAGCTAAAATTTACAAATCGCTAAAGACAAATGTCACAAAAGTAGCAAACAGATGCTTTTGTAAAAAGTTGCAAAGCAGTAGCTAAAATTAGCTAAATCTAAAAGAAAATGAGCCAAAGCTAGAAGCTAAATGTAGCAGAACAGTAGCTAGAAGCTTAAAGCAAAGAATAGCTTAAAAGCAAAACAGCTAAAATTAGTAAAATAGCAGCTGAATTTAACAAAACAAATAAGATCAGCAAAGCATGAGCTAAAATTAGCAAAATCTAAAAAAAAAAGAGCTGTAGCTTGAAGCTAAAAGCAACAAAAAAGTAGCTAGAAGCTTCAAGGAGCAAAAGATTAGCTACAAAAAAAGCAAAACAATCATTTGAATTGCTAAAGAGAAATATAGCATCCAGATAACGGATGCTAAAGTTAACAATGAAAAAAGTGTATCTAAAATTTAAAAGAAGCAGAACTGTAGCTAAAAGCTACAAATAGCAAAACAGAAGCTAAAAGTAACAAAACCAAAGCTGCAAGCTAAGAGAAGCATACAAAGACAAAAATAGAGCACATTTGCTGAAGTAGATTTCAAAGAGAATAAAGTTTGATAATGAAACAGAGATATTTTAATGTGATTCTATGGGAGATTTTATTTTAAATAAAGTATAATATTTTGAAAAGTATAAAAGTTAAAAAAAAAAGCCAGAAGTCGTAGCACTGTGTTCTTGATCAGGTTGAACATTTTGATATAAGAATAATTAAATTCTGACTCAGTTTTATTGTTTTAGTTTTTAAGCTGTGCTCTTACAGCTCTTGTGCCCCCCCTGCAGGTTTCAACCCCCGGTGGGACTGCACCCTGAGCTTCCAGCTGCAGGTTCCTGAACTGACCCTGGTGCGCTTCGTCGTGGAGGACCACGACCACACCTCCAAAAACGACTTTGTGGGACAGTACACTCTGCCCTTCACCAGCCTGCGCACAGGTGCTCTTCATTCTGACCCCACGAGTCAAGTCCTCGTTGTTTTAAGTCAAGTCGCATTTATTTATAAAGCACATTTAAAACAGCAAAGTGCCAAACCAACCAAAGTGCTAAACAACAAGATAACGGCAGTAAAATAAACAAGATGTAATTAAAAGCATCAAAACACAAACAACAACGAGAAACAATGAAACAGTAAATCAAATCACACTGTGTTAAAAAACAGGTGTGTTTTTTTAGGAGATCTTTAACAGCAGGGAGTTAAGTGGTCTGTCTAATGTTGGGGGGCAGATTGTTCCAGAGTTTAGGCCCCGCGACTGAAAAAGCCCGATCTCCTCTGAGCTTCAACCTGGTTTTTGGTACAACCAAAAGCAGCAGGTCAGATGATCTCAGCACCCAAGAAGGAACGTGGTTGAAGTAGGTCAGAGAGATGTGAGGGTGCAAGACCATTTAGGCACTTAAAGGTCAACCGGAGAATTTTAACATCGATTCTGAGATGCACGGGGAGCCAGTGAAGGGAGGACAAAACTGGTGAAATGTGCTCAAACCTACGAGTTCCTGTTAATAGCCGAGCTGCAGTGAATGGAGCAAGAACTGTTAGGATTTAAGGGCGGATAAATCTGACAATCATCAGCATAACAAATAAATTAAAACCGTGTTTCTTCAGAATAGACTCCAAAGGGAGCAGATGGAGAAAACAAAAGGGGTCCAAGAACTGAGCTCTGTGGGATCACACAGAAAAGAGGCACTGACGTAGATACACTGTTTAACATGTGAAACCATCCCCCCCACAGGTTATCGACACGTTCACCTGCTGAATGCAGACGGGTCCAGTCTGTCCCCAGCGACGCTCTTCGTCCACGTCAAAGTGACCCGAAGAGGAGTTCCTGTCAAGACGGTGAAGGAGCGCATGGACATCGCTAAAGGCAAAATGTGAACCATGAAAAAATGAATTTTTAATATCTGAAAGGCTTTAGAAGAAGCCGCTTTTAATGCGAGGGGACTCCTGTCGCTGCCAGCCTTTGTCCCGGTCCAGTTGTCCAATTTTAACTCGACCACTTCCTGAAAAGAGAAAGGCGATTAACTTTTAGAAAAGTAATGGAGTCATCTCTCACTGTGAGGGTTAGTTGATGAAGACTGAAGCTACATGACCACAAGACACTAACATTTACTTTGTATATGTTAACTCTTTAGATTGATCTTTTTTTAAATGTTTTAACAGAAAAAAAATGCAGAGTAGCATTAACAGAACTGCACTGACCCATAAGGTGTTTTATGGATGCTGTAGAGAACGTACCAAGCTGTGGTCAAAACAATACTGTTGTTTTAGACATTTCTTTTTTGTATGCACTGTGATGTGAAACATTTGTGTTAATGTTTCATCAGTTTGTATTTTTCATAAGAAAATGTCTTAGAGTTAATTCAGTCTTACTTTATACTTAAGACACTTTAGCACTTTTGTCTTCAAAGCAAATGACTGCAGGTTACCTTAACTTTCAAATATCTTTAGTATTTAGTATTTGTCTTTGCCTCGGCGTCACTTCAATCATGTTCAAATAAAGTATTAGGTAAAATTGTGATTAGCTTTTCATATGAACTTTGTCTAATGCACTGACAATTTAATTATTTCTTCTGCTAGTAGCACTTCGCCTCCAGAATACGTTACAGATTGATTGTCTAAACTAAAGGAAGGTGATTTAAATTAGAGTTTATATGCTTGAAGTGGTTTTCTGTAACATGATCAACAAAGTATAACTTTTAAAAAAATGCTGTTTTTATAAAGAATAATTAATACCACACTGCAATACATGTTTTTGTTTGTGCTCACTTGTTTTTTTTAATGCATGTCGCCCGCCACCTTCATGCCAGAGTTTGAGGCTGAGATTATTGCCCTTTTGGTCAAACTAGAAAATAACATTTTACTCAGCCTCATGCCTCATCGCAATAAATCACGCTCAAAGTATGTGTTGTGGAATGACTCTCAGCTACTACCACGTCAAATATTAGCTCAATGTTTGTCAAATCGACTGAGTTATAGTCATTTTGGTGCTGGCTGATGTCCGCTTGCTGTCGTGGCCATTTTGAGGTACATTAACTTAAAAAAATAATCCATCCAACCATTATCTTTTACCCACTTCTTCCATTTTGGGTCACGGGGTTAAAAAATAATCAGTTGTAAAAAATATATTTTCTGGTGAAGGAAGCTGTTTTAAAACAAACTGGGTTATTGATGCTAAACGAAGAATGCATACATTTATAGACCTCAAGTTATAACTCATTTTAGTTTTGTGGTTTTAATATTTTAATAATGAAGTTTGAGTATTAACAATACTGATATTTTACTTAATCTCTGTAATTGTATCTTTTTTAATATCTCCACCGTATCAATATATAAGTTGCCATTATTGATTATTTGTATTGTTTATTCGTTGATAGTGAGAAAATAGGCCACTTGTATCCATGTGCGACAGGTGTTGTATCGAATTGTGTCATCAGTGCAGAGCGGGAACGGCTCCAACTACACGGGGAAACTGAAATTAACACAACACCATCCGCGAAACTTGAGCCTTTAGGACCATTTAACATCTGCAAAGTCATGCGGCGAGTACAACCATCAACCTTTACGGGATTTTGACCGTGGATTCTAAGTAAAAGACTTAACAAACGTCCGGAGCGCTTTTGTTTTATTGTAAATACGAGGACGCCCCCTCGCGTCGCGTCCACCTCCAAGCCAATAGCGTCGAGGCGGGTTTAAAGGCGTCGACCGCCCGGAGAGTCCGCACTTCCCGGTGAAGATGGCGGATGAGAATGAGACAGCACCGATGCCGGAGAGAGAAGATGTAGAGGACCACGGACACTGTAGCGACTGCGAAAATGAAGAGCACCACTTTGATGATGGGTAAGAGGGTAAACTTACATATAGAGCGGGTTAAAATGGTCAGTGCCATTTTACCCTTTACTAAATTGGCGAACGCTAACCAAAGAATTCACGAGCAGGCGAGGATGGACACCTATCGTTCGGCCCACTTTGCTTTCTTCCTATTGGCTGGAGGGAGCGTCACGCTCTCGAGCTCTTCATTCTGATTGGCTGAGACGGGAATCTATCAACTGCGTAGGCGGGTTTAAGTCTAGAAACCAGCTAATGCTAGGCGTGAGGAGTAACAACTGAAGCGTGATTAAAAACAGTTTTAACATAATATTTGAACAGTTATAGGACTTGCATAAACACTGTGAAATTGACAGTTTAATAAATGTTTAAAACCACCGATGCGTTGATTAACTGAGCAACTAAAGTGACATACAGCGTGTTAGTTAGCTTGAATGCTAACGAAGCTGTCAAACCCTTTTGTCTGATACAAAATCAAAACCGAAACGAGCAACAATTGCGTTTTTTACACGTACGACTTAATTGTCATGTGTAACTGCTTCTGTGTTTGAATCCTACCGCGTTGGGAGCTCTCAATCCCAACATTTAACCACGTAAAATTGAGGAAGATGAAGCCTTGGCTAGCTCTGATTAGCTAAAAAATGGCTTTAAATGAAACCCTGCACTGCTTGACGTTCGCTTTCCTCTGTGTTCATCATCCAGAGACTCCAAGCAAGGGACCTAAACGTGTTTATATTAGCTTATACTATTTATCCAAGCAAATGAATAAGTGTAAAGCTTCATAAAATTAGCAGTTCAGTCTGTCAAAGTCAACTTGCGACCCTGAAGTTGTTGCTTTTAGATCCAGGGCTGCAGAAATAATCTGTTTGAGCTGCTTGGTTTGAAGCAACAACAACAAAAAAAAGTCACATTTCAAAGTGGCAGTAATCCACCACATTTAGGTACTTGCTGTGTTTAATTTTATTCACGCATCAGTCCCCTCCAGCACAGAAACAAAGCCTTGCTCTAGTTGCTGCACTCCATTGACATGGAAGCCTCGAGAACAAACTATTGAGTGTTTTGTTCTCCATTGTCCCCGTCGCTGACAGACCTCTTGCACATACATGTGTACGCACACGTAGATAGCACACGCTCCTCTTCCAGAGGTCATGTGAGACGCCATCTGCACAGGGGTTTACAAACACAAGCCTTGGACTTTAATGAGATTACCCTCAAGTATGGGGCAGATAAGTGGCTTCTCCAGTTAGAACGCATCAAAAACTGACCGCTACAAAACACCGATTGTAACTTTTGACAACTTGAGTCGTGCGTTTTTTGCAGCTGGGACCATCAATGCAGACATTGGCCACACGTTTCTCCATTTGATGTGCCTCATTCTTGGAACTGTCTTGATTTCTGTTTAGCCTACAGGTCTGTGTAGATGTTCCATCGACACTAGGGATCAAAAATCACAAAGTTGGACGTCCTGACGTGAGCTCCAGAAATCAGTATCTCCACTAAAGTGGCTACAAAATAATAAAAACGACCATGAATGGGGCAGTAAAGTAGTATGAGTTCGGGGTATTTCTATATTCACTATGCCCTTTACGTAGTTAGATTTTCAGCAGTTTGTCCACTTTAAAGATTTTTAGGGTCACAGTTGCTTCTTTTTTTTGGATAGTAATGGGAAAAAGGTTTGAGAACCACAAGTTTAGAGCCTCATCTGGCACTGACAATTCAAACAAGCTGTTTTTACTCTGTCCAATATAGAGAAATAACTTGTAAATCTATATGTAAATATAAAGTTTTTTTTGTATTTTATCATCCCGAACGTATGGTTGCGTTTTACAGAAATGGTATCTCCTCATCTAGGCTGGTAATAATTGTGATTTAAAAAATGTTATTAATTCAGATGTACGGGATCCAGACACCCATATTAGCACTTTGTTCATCCTTTCAAGAGAACGGTAGTTTAAAATCATTTTCTGTTCCAGTGACCGGGGTCTGGGTGATGACACCGGTGCCAAGAAGAAAAAGAAAAGGCAGAAAAAGAAGAAGAAATCTGGTTCCACAGAAGCAGCTCAGGACCCTCTTGCCAAGGCACGAACTCTTTTTTTTAAATGACAAAAGTTTAACGTTGAAGTTCTTGTTAAAAGTCCAAAAATATTTGGTCTGTATATTTCCCCTCTAAGTCATGTTTTAACTTTCATAACAGGTTAACGCTTTACCAGCTGAGAAGCTACAGGAGATCCAAAAGGCCATCGAGCTGTTCTCTGTTGGCCAAGGTCCAGCCAAAACCATGGAGGAGGCGAGTCGGAGGAGTTATCAGTTCTGGGACACACAACCTGTTCCCAAGCTAGGTAAGATTAAAAGTTGTGGCTTTGACTCCTCCAACTACAACAAAACTCCGCTCAGAGGCGTCTTGTACCGCTGATAAGTGCTTCATGTCTGCGTTTTCTTTCAGGGGAGACCGTAATGTCTCACGGATCCATTGAACCCGACAAAGACCACATTCGAGAGGAGCCCTACAGCCTCCCACAAGGCTTCAGCTGGGACACCCTGGACCTGGGGAACGCCGCCGTGGTAAGACGGCGTTCAGTCACAGCTACAGGGTTCCTATGTGGTCTTAAAGGGAAGAAGTTGACTTTTATATATTCTCTAGCTCAGGGTGCGGTTTATAAATTCACAATTAAGATGAAATGTCACGCAGAGCTCCTTTTTTTTTTTTTTATTAAACCATGAAAAATAGACATTTTTATCATGATGTTCACTTTCGTCCTTCATTATTTTTGTTTTAGAAGTTCTGATTGGAAAAACTTTAGACCGCGCATGGACAACATACATCCCAACATGTTGGGTGATCTCCATCCGGCTTCTAGACGTCCTCAAATTAAAACACAATAAATTCAAACTAAGTGGATGAAAACCAGGATTTTTTTTTTTAATATATAAAACTTAAAACAAAGCTTAAATTCAACATCTTGGATGTAAACAAAAAGAAAAGTACAAGTTTACAGAACGTCTTGTATTCCAAAAGAAAATCAAGATAACTTTTTTTTTTACTGGACATGCTAACGATGCTAACTCGTCTAAATAGAAAATGGAAGAAAAAATACTGGAAATATTTTCCAAAATATCTGTTTGGAAGATTATAGTTAAGTATGCATCATTTTGATTCCTTCCTGTTGACGTGTGCGGCTCTCTGGAAACGTGATGCTGCAGACGAGACTGAAGTTACTTCCATCGGCAGCGTCTTCCGTCGCCGTACGTTTCTGTCACAAGTTGCTCTAAAACATGAACGAGGTTTTCTGTTTGATAAACATTTTTACCATAGTTATACGTAATAAAAGCACCGTTGTATAAAACGTTTTGGAACATTGGAAAAATGTTTGGGAACCCGGCGTGTCCATAAGTCTCTGTCTTCGACCAGTTAATGGCGGTTTGGTTGTTGAGGCAACAGATCCAGGAGGGGAACCCTGACCTCCCTCTCCTCGGGACACTCCAGCTCCTCCTGGGAGACCCCGAGGTGTTTCCAGGCTGGAGAGAATATTCCCTCCAGAAAGCTCTGGGCGTTCCTCAGGGAGGTGTCCAGGATGGGTCTTAACCAGCGCAGAGGTGAGCCCAACTGTATCGAGTTGGTCTTGCTCAACCTCACACACAAGCTCCGACTCCTTACCCCCCAGTAAGGTGACGTTCATGTCCTCCAGAGCCAGTTTATGATGCCAGGAACGGGCCTGGTCAGGGACCCTCCCTCACCTGCCACCCGTCTTGCAGAGCGCTCCACCCAGACGGTCCTTTTGGGTGGAGGGCCCACGTTGTCTCTTTCGGACTCGGCCCAGACAAGCCCCAGGAGCCAAGGCTATTTGTGGGCTCCACAACCAGGCCTGGCTCCCGGGGGGGTGTTCCCTTTCTGAACAATGTTTCCTGATCCACTTGCTCGTTAAAGGTTTTTGAGCCCTCACATGAACCCTGTTTGCCATGGAAGACCCGACCATGGGCTGACCCTCTAGAACCCCCGGGACCGTTGGGGCACAGCATGTGCTGCCTTTACCCTTCAGGATGGACCGTCGTTGTTTTTGTGCCACACAAACCAGAAGATTAATTATTTAGAGTTGGACAATTAAAGGTTTGAAGCTTTAGGAAGCCTTTTTGAACTGAAGCCTGTGATAAGAAGATGTAATATTTTATCTTTACCACGTCTTGTTTTTGAACGTACTGTTGTCGTTAACGGTTCAAACAAAAGTGCAAACTGGTGTTGGGGAGTGGGGGGGCGCTGTCAAATCCACCCCAAAAAATACGTTTTATGTTGGCGATATTCAACAAGAATGAGAAGATTAAATCTAAAGTTGGAATAATCGCAGGTTCTAATTTTATTTGTCCACATGTGGACGATGACGACGTTGGAAACAAACTGGTAACAGAAGAGACCGACTGCTTTATTTGAACAAGCTGGCAAAAAAAACAGTTTTTAAATATAAATTATTGCAAAAGTTTTTGTGCTTTTTGTCCGTTTGCAACCAGCTGAAGGAGCTTTATACTCTTCTCAATGAGAACTACGTGGAGGACGACGACAACATGTTCAGATTTGACTACTCCCCCGAGTTCCTGCTCTGGTAATCCTGACTTCTGGTTCAGATTTATGGCACTGCGGATATTTTCATTATTAAAACCGTTCAAGTTGAAACAAACAGCGGAGTGAATGCTCGTCTCTCCCTCAGGGCCCTCCGACCTCCGGGCTGGCTGCCTCAGTGGCACTGTGGCGTCAGAGTGAACTCCAACCAGAAGCTGGTCGGCTTTATCAGCGCCATTCCAGCCAACATTCGGATCTACGACATGTGAGCGAACAGTCGAGTAGACTCCAGGTTCCATCGCAACCTTCAGACAAAGCAGTTCCTCCTTTTATTCATTCATTTAGTCGTTTTGTGCACATCGGTTATAAATCAGCTGGTTTTCCTGAAGCTCTTTAACCAAGAAAAATGTGCATTTATTTAGTAAAACTGTAAAATGTACAAGTTGTTGATGATGAGCGCACCGGTTGTGTTCTGTCTCGTGTTTTTAACTCTGACTCGGTTTTATCTTTTTTAATGTTTTAGAGAAAAGAAAATGGTTGAGATCAATTTCCTCTGCGTCCACAAGAAGCTTCGCGCCAAGCGAGTCGCTCCGGTTCTGATCCGGGAGATCACCAGGCGGGTCAACCTGCAGGGCATCTTCCAGGCCGTGTACACCGCCGGAGTGGTTCTGCCCAAACCCGTGGGCACGTGCAGGTTTGTCAAACAAAGCGTCTTTGTTTTGAGGTTTTTGTTGTACGGCACGGGTCATCCCGTACGGTACTAATCTGTCGTACGGACGCAGGTACTGGCACCGCTCCCTGAACCCACGGAAACTAATCGAGGTGAAGTTCTCCCACCTGAGCAGGAACATGACTATGCAGCGCACCATGAAGTTGTACCGCCTGCCCGAGGTTGGTAAAAACCGTCTCGGACGTACGATCGGTTTCAAGAGCCGTGCTCACCTGAGAGTTATTTTTAAACTCTCCGTCTTAAAAGCTTCAAAATGATCCGTAGTCCGTTAGAATTTGGTGATCGCTCACCTGGCAACAGGTTGGTTGCATTTATGAGAGCGCTGGTTTGGAAAATGGATTTTTGTTGGTCTGGAGCGACGTCGTTAGCACTTCCTGTCCTGTATTTAAGCTTCTTAAAGATGCCGAACAATATATGACGGGATTTCCTGGTGCTACTGCAGCTAGCAGGAAGGAAATGATAAGAGTTATACAACATGAATATTTCTGCAGATGTAAAGGTGGATTAGGGAGATTAATTTAGTTACCAGGACCGCTACCACAGCAGGTCCGTCTTCCTGTCTGGGTGGAGTTTACATGTTTGCCCCGTGCACACGCACCAGAAACGTCCACGTTGGGTTATTCGGTAACTCTGAATTGTCCCTGTGCGAGTGGATTATTGTCTCTTTGTGTCCCTGTGATGGACTCGCAGCCTGTTCAGGGTGTCCCGCCTCTCACACGGTGACTGCTGGAGATGGACGCCAGCTCCCCGTGGGTAAAGATGGATAGATTTACCGCAGCCCCCCTTCCCCCCCATCATGTCTTCTACCTCCTTTCCTTCAGGCCCCGAAGACTTCTGGTCTGCGGCCGATGACGAAGAAGGACGTTCCCGTGGTGCATCGCCTCCTCCGGGAGTACCTGAGCCTGTTCAACCTGGTGCCCGCCATGAACGAACACGAGGTGGAGCACTGGTTCCTCCCCCAGGAGAACATCATTGACACGTACCTGGTGGAGGTAAAAGACGCTCTGATCACGGACGACGCACTTTGTTTGCACCGTCCTTGTGTTGATCTTCTGTAATGCTGTTTTCTGACAGAACGATGGCAAAGTGACCGATTTCCTGAGTTTCTACACGCTGCCCTCCACTATAATGAACCACCCGGTGCACCACAGCCTGAAGGCGGCGTACTCCTTCTACAACGTGCACACCACCACCCCTCTGCTTGACCTGATGTCTGACGCCCTCATCCTGGCCAAATCGGTTTGTTTTCCACCTTTTAAAAAATATAAGTAAACAAACTTCCATCTTGGTGTGGAATTTTCCCAGTCTGTCGGCTGATTGTCATTTTTTTATCTGTTTTGTACAGAAAGGTTTCGATGTCTTTAATGCACTGGATCTAATGGAAAACAAGACTTTCTTGGAGAAGCTGAAGTTCGGTATCGGGGACGGGAATCTGCAGTATTATCTGTACAACTGGAAGTGTCCCAGCATGGGGCCAGAAAAGGTACTTTTATTTTTATTATTAGCAAACTAACAAAATGTTACAAGAAGCAGCGGGGCGGCAGTCGAGATGCGCAGCGGGGCGGCAGCCGAGAGGCGGGGCGGGAGCCGAGAGGCGCCGTGGGGCGCAGCGGGGCGGCAGCCGAGAGACGGGGCGGGAGCCGAGAGGCGCCGCGGGGCGGAAGCTAAATCTTAAAGAAGCATAAGTAGAATCAGAAAATGGATTGGAGGCAGTTTGTTGAAGCGAACCCCTACAACGTGAACTCCTACAACGTGAACTCCTACAACGTGAACTCCTACAACGTGAACTCCTACAACTTGAACCCCTACAACTTGAACTCCTACAACTTGAACTCCTACAACTTGAACTCCTACAACGTGCACACCTTCACCCTCTGACCTGAGAACTGTTTTTGAATGAATCAGATCTCGCTGTTTCTCTGAGGGAAAAATTACAAATTGAATTAAATATTTAAAAATTATAATAGTTACAAGAATCAAAATCGATTGATAATTTAGATATTCCAACTTCTAAAATAACACAAAGTACACAGAAGTAATTAGATTATAAATTAAAAAAAAACCCACTGACTTCTTGTTCAGTTCATCTGTTTTTCTTTGATCTTCGGCGTGTGTGTGTGTATGTGTGTGTGGTGCTGGAAACAGCGTGTCAAGACGATAAATGTTCCTGACGATGTTCTGCTTCCTCCTCAGGTTGGGCTGGTTCTGCAGTGACGTCGAGTCGTCAGCGAGTGTCACCGACAGGCCTGAAGACGGCGCCACGGTCCCAAGACTTCCTGCTTGTGGAAACGACCAACCACACTTTTACTTTCTGACCCTCTGAACTTTGACCTGCACTACTGCTGCCAGGCTGAGGGAGCCCCCCTCCATCAACGGACCTCAGAGCCATCGTAGTGACCGTCGCAAACAGCTATATTTCATCACTGTACCAAAAACAAGAACAGTTCTCACCGGTGCCCGGCCACCGTCACGCTCACCGCCGGCAAACCTGCGAAAACCTGTAAATACCGTCGGACGTGACCGCGGATAAGGCCCTAATGCGCAGAGCAGAACCGACTGTTTTGTTTTATTCCTAAATGTTGGAAGTGCTTTTTGCAATTAAAACAAATCTGTTAATAAATTTTAGACAATACAAATAAATTGTGCGTAAAAAATAATAATATTTTAAAGAGTAAAAGGCTCAAAAGGCTGATCTAATAAAAACCAAAAGTGGGAATAAGAAAAGGGCTTTCGTTAAGAGTTGTCTCGTCCTGTCTGCCATTTCTTTTTTTTGGCTCATGGTTTCTGTTCGCCGTCCATTTGTGCTCCTCTCATTTATCAAAACTTGCAGAACCATCACTCCCCAGCTTGCTGCACACGTAAAAACCAGTCGGGAGACAAATCTCTGATTCTGACGGCGTTCGTTAACATTTATCCTCTTGATTTACGTGTGTCCCACTGCAGCGGCCATCTTTGTGAAACCGGACTCTTAACGTGCGTTTCCAAAAATCTCAGAGGCTTCAGGGTCAAATCAGAAATCCAAAGTACTTAAGGGCACTTTTAAAAGCCTTTTTTTTTATAGCCTAATATATAAATATGGGGAGAAATCTGAGAATGGATTAAAATTTATTTATTAAAAAAACTAATTGCATGTTTCAGCTCCACGCCGAGCTGTTCGCTGTAGATACTGAGCTGATTTGAAAACATCCCTTGTTACATGCTTTAATCTGAACAAGTGAGAACAATATTAAGGTGAAATATTTCAGCTTATGCAAGATTATGCAGCTGCTGTCAGGCGAAGCAGGGGAGGATTTATGGTTGTGATGCCCGAGCGGGCTGCGTGAAATCAGTGCGGACCTGCAACACGTGCAGGATGAACAGCGATGGATGGGGAACAACACCCCCGTTAAAGTGTTTCTTATGTAAAATATTTGATTGCAAAATGTAAAAAAAAAAAAAAAGAGAATCCCGTGGTGTTATGATCCAGGAAATGATTGTGAAGGTGCAGGGTTCGTTCTTTTTAAGCAAAATAAAATGTAGGGGTTGCTGTGAGGTTATTGCATTTTTTTTTTTTTTTTATGATCAAAATGGACGATTTGTTTATTAAAAGTGGAACTCCTGCTTTATAAGCTGAAGGTTTAATGCTAAACCGTTGCTGAACACTGGATTGTTTATGTTTTACAACCACGCTGGTTCTGCTTACATGATGTTCTCAAAAAAAGCTAATATTTAGAGAGCTCCTTGCAATAATTTGTATTTAAAACTGGTTTTGGAGAGAGAAACACTTTATTTTGTTAAAACTGTGTGAATGATGTGTGCTGAATGAGAGCTGCAAAAGCTAAAAGCAGAACATTAGCTGAAAGCTTCTTTCGGCTGTTCCCTCTTTGCCACAGCGAGTCCTCCTCCTCCATCTCACTCCAACCACCTCCATGTCCTCTCTAACTGCATCCATGTGTCTCCTCTTTGTCTTTTTCCTGCAGCTGCATTTCTAACATCCTTCTACCAATATGCCCACTGTCCCTCCTCTGGACATGTCCAAACCACTGTCCCTCCTCTGGACATGTCCAAACCATCTCTGTGTCCTCTCTAACTTTATCTCCCAGTTGTTCAACCTGTGCTGTACCTCTGATGATCTCATTCCTGATCTTAGCCATCCTTGTCACTTCTGCCACTTCCAGTTCTGTCTCCTGTCTTTTTGTCCATGTCTCTGTCTCCAGACCATACAACATAGCTGATTTCACGACAGTCTTAAATTTTTCCTTTGACTTTTGTTGACACCCTTTTGTTGCAACTCGTTCCTGAAACTTTTCTCCATCCTGCCTGGACTCTTCACCTCTTTACCTCACCCCATTTTCCTGGACAGTGGACCCAAAGTCCTTGAAGTCCTGCACCTTTGTGACCTCTGCTCCATGTAGCCTCATTGTTCCACCTCCTCCCTCTCATTCACACACATGGACTCTGTCTTACTACGGCTGACTTTCATTCCTCTTCTTTCAAGTGCATACCTCCACCTCTCCAAGTTCTCTTCCACCTGTTCTCACCACAGCATCCTCAAAGCAAAGATGTCATCTGTGGTGCTCTTTCTCGGCATGAATCAATGTTGCTCTCGTCCAAGTCTTGCTTCAACAAGCTCCACCAGATCTTCATCGTGTGACTCATCAACTTAATTCCCCTGTAGTTGCTACAACTCTACATCACCCTTGTTCTTAAAAATGGGCACCAGCACACTTCTGTTCCATTCCTCAGACATTTCCTCACCCTCATATATGCCATTGAATGTTTGGGTCTAAAACCTCCCTGCCATCTCTTCAAGACATTTCCAAACCACTGGTCATCAGGTCCTACTGCCTTCCCCTTCTTCATTCTTTTCAGAGCTTTCCAAAATTCACCCTCACTAATCTTTCCCACTTCCTGGTCCACAGTTTCTTTGATCTCTTCTTTTTGCTTTCATTCTCTTCATTTATTAGCTCCTCAAAGTACTCCTTCCATCTTCCCATCATGCTCTACTCACTTGTTAAAACATTACCATTCTGATCTTTAACGAGCCTAACCTGCTGCATATCCTTTCCAGCCTGATCCCTCTCTCCAATCTGTACTCTTTAGTGTCCAGCCTCCCAAACATCTCATCAAACACCTTCTGCTTTACCTTAGCTACCTCCCTCTTTGCTCTACGTTGCTCTCCTTATATTCCTGTCTCCTCTTTTCAGTCCTTCACTCATATTTCTTTTTGGTTAATCTTTCTTTGAACAAGTTCCGGCACTACTTCATTTCACCACCAGGTTTCTCCATCATCCAGATGACACACCAAGTACCTTCCTATGTCTCTCTAAATACTGTTGCTGTAGTAGTCCAGTCATTTGGAAGCTCTTTCTTACCACGCAGAGCCTTTAACAGCTCCTCTTTGAATTTCTCACATTCTTCTTTCTTCACCTTCCATCATTTGGTCGTCTTCTCTAATTTTACTCTTTTTCTCAATGACAAGTTTTTCTATGTCGTCTGGCCACGCTCTCCCCTGCCACAACCTTACAGTCTCCAATCTCCCTCAGGGTTCCTCTTCTACACAGAATGTAGTCGACCTGCGTACTCCTTCCTCCACTCTTATAGGTCACTCCTTTTGGAAATAAGTGTTGACTAGTGGATTTTGCCGAGAGAATGAAAATGGCTGTAGTTGTCATTTCCCTATCTGTTACGGAAGCACCGGGGAATGACATCCACCACCATCTTCCTGGTTTACCCTAGACATCAAACCTACCCATCACTTCCTCATTCCCTCTGTTCCTTCAGCAACATGTCCGTTCAGGTCTGCTCCGATCACCACTCCTCTCTGGGAACATCACCAGATCCTTCTAAAATGTATCTTTCTAGCAAATGCCAAGTGGAAGTTATGATTAAAATGTTACCTAAAAACTGGAAAAACCCTAGCTAAAAGTTTAACTTTGCAAAATAATTACTGAAATATTAAAGTGAAAAAAGTTATCTCGAGTCTTGAACAAGAGCTAGCTGAAAGCATGGTTCAGCGATAAATTAAAAGTAGCAAAAGTTATAAGAAAATAATTGTAAAGCGCTAGCTAAAATAGCTAGCTAAAAAGGTAAAAGCTAAGTAGAAGTTAAAATGGCTAAAAGCTGCACCTAGAAGTTAAATATAGCAAAACAGTTGCTATAACGCTTAAAATTAAAAAAAGATTGTCTTAACTACAGCTATTATTTAGCTATGTTTATTAACATGCTAGCTAAAATAGCAGGCTACAGTTGCAATTTGAGCTAAGAAGATAATAGTAAAAAGTTAGCTAAAAGTAGCAGAATGCTAGCTAAAAATGGTAAAAGCTGAAGTACAAAAAAACAGCTGAAAGCTGCAAATAGCAACTAGAAGCTGAAAAAGGCTAAGTAACAAAAAGCTAAGAAGTTAATGTAACTAAAAGCTGCAAAAGACTCGTTAAAAGTAGGAACCTAAAAACGGCAAAAAGTTAAATTTTGTAAAACTGATAGCTAAAAGTAGCAAAAATGTGAAACGCTAATTAGAAACATTAAGGTTAAAAGTGAAACACAGCTAAAAGCCAAAAGGATAAAAAGTTATCTGAAAGCTGCAAAAGCTTGGTAAAAATTTAACGTTGCGAAAAAGTCGCTAAAACTTTAAGACTGAGCTAAAAGTTGAACAGTTGTGGAAGAGATCATCTTAGTGCATCAGTGTCAATTTTTAATTAAGTTAAATTAATTCGACCTTTAATTATACAGGTTAGTGCCACTGAGCCTCGGGGACTCAATGTTTTGAAAAGTATACAAGAAAAATACCTCCCATTTTAATAAATGAGCAGAAAATGAATTGCACAAAGTTTTCGAAAAAGGATAGAAAAATAAACTGAATTCAACACTATTACAAACGTTGCAAGCTTTATATTATACAACTTAAATGCCATTATCCAGCTAAAACAAGCAAATTAAATTTAACATGTCTACATCTGATTAAAATCACTCATGAACTATTTAAGTTAGTGCTGTATGGACTTGCTTATTAGCCCGTTAGCTCTATTTATGTAACACTCGAAACAACCAAGGGCTCGCATTTTACACTTGTCGTTGATTGGTCAAAAACTAATGACGCGTTTTATTTCTATGCTCTGATTGGTTACTTCTGATCACCTGACAGTTATGTGGGCGGTACAATATCTATGGGCGGTACTTTATCAAACCGCAGGAGGAAGTGAACAACAGAGAGCTGTCAGTTGTTGGACGAAGGGGTCGAGAAGCCGACAAAATGTGGGTTCTCGTGTCCGTTATTTCCACGGTTTTGATAATATTTATGTTAAAGTATTTCTTCGGCAGCTACGGTCCGAATCCCTTTGAGAAGGACAGTCGTGAACCGTTGAAAAAGAGGGTTTACGACAAGAAGGAGAAGAATAAAGTGCTAAAGCAAGGTGAGTTTAGTGCAACTTGTGCAGCCTGCCTGCGCTGTAATTAAACAGATGACGTGACTGTCGATCAGCTGTGTGTAAAACACGATTCATCTCGTTAAACCTGCAACTAAATTTTACATTTTATACAATTTAGGGGATGAATGTGCAAACAGGGAGCAGCACTGAATGAGTAAACTCCAAATTCTTCATTTATAAAAGTTAAATGTCTTGCCATTTTATTAACTTCTTATTTCTTGGACTCAAATTACACTATATTTGGGTTAAAATCATATTTTATACGCTGTGGTCTTAAGTTAAGATCTTTGATTTAATATTTTTAGGAATTCAAAAATGGCTAACACTCCAAACCTTACGTTTGTTTCTTACAGTATCGAGATTTTTTACACCTCTTAAGCTGATAATAGTAATAATCTACCTTGAACAGCTTTTGTGTGGATGTGCCTTCGTTAAACCCACAGCAGACATAAATCTGCGGTGTTTTTGTTCCTTTTGAACCTTTTGCTTTCACGTTTTACTCGACTTGTAGGATTCCTGGCCAGTAAAGTACCAGAAAACTTGGATGCAATCATCATTGGAAGTGGTGTCGGTGGGCTCGGGCTTGCTGTGCTGCTTGCTAAAGTCGGAAAGAAAGTTCTGGTTCTGGAGCAGCACAGTAAGGCCGGGGGATGCTGCCACACGTTCTCAGAGAAGGGCTTTGAGTTTGATGTTGGTGAGTCTTTTCTGTGGGAACGTTTTCTCCGTACATGGAAGCCTCAGTCTGGACTAACGGCCACGCTGCTTCTGAACCACAGGGATCCATTACATCGGGGAACTCGTGGAACACCAGCCTTTCCGCTGCATGTTGGACCAGATGACCAATGGACAGCTGCAGTGGGAGCCTCTGGAGAATCCATTTGACCACGTTGTGCTGGGACCTCCAGAAAACCGCCGCAGGTACCCCATCTACAGCGGCAGGACTCGCTTCCCCGAGGAGCTGAAGAAGTGTTTCCCTAAAGAGGAGAAGGCCATTGACGAGTACCTGCGGCTGGTCAAGGTAGGATCTTTTAGCAAATATTATAATTATCTACTTAACACGTTACCTCAACGTGCAAATGACTTTTCTCCCAGTAAACTTTGTATTCAAGATCTGCACTTGGGCACATTTCATTATTCAGATGTCATGTTATCAAATCCAAACCAAAGGTCGGAGTGACTTCTGAGGACACTCAGCTGCAGCGTTGCACAACTTTTATCTGCGTTTTACTCCTACACAGCTAAATAAACTGTGGTTTCAAGTTGCTGTGCCACTTTACTGCTTTTATTTTTGTTACATCATGAAAATAAATTTAAAAAAAAACAGTGAACATAAAAGATTATGCAGAAAAGAGCAACAAAAATACAGTAAATGTAAAGGATTTAATAAAAACTGATAGATGTTGTATATAAATCAATACTTAACATGTATCATTGTTGGACAAATTAAATGGTTCTTTTCAAGACTAACCTTTATATTAAGATAACGGATACAACTAGAGAAATTTAATTTCCTGCGAAAATGCAGTGTGAATGCTTACTGCAGAAGAACTTGCTGAAAAACAGCTGAAATTACCTAAATAACATTTTGAAAATGTAGCTGAAATGGAAGAACAAGCCTAAATTAGCAGAAGAAAGCAGAAAGAACACATCTTCGCTGAATTAGGCTGAAAAAAAGTTGAAATCATTGCAAAAAAAAAAAAAAGTGGAATTAGCTGAAAAAATGAAAATCAGCATAAAACAGCTGAATAGTAGCTGAAATAACTGAAACTATCTGAAAGGAGCATAACAAGCTGAAATAAACAGAAATCATTTAATTAAGCTAAAAGTAGCAGAAATTAGCACAGAAAACTTGAATTTCTTTGAAAAAGGCTGAAATTAACTAAAAAGGTAGAACAAGCTTAAATTAGCAGAACAAAGTAGAAAGAACATGTTTGCCCAGTTAGGCGTAAAGAACGAGCACAACAAAATTTAAATTATCTAAAAAAAAAAGCAAGAATTAGACAGAAAAAAAGCTGAATAGTAGCTATAGTCAGAAAGAAGCTTAATTTACCAGAAGGAAGTGGAGAGAGCACATCGTGGCTGAAGTAGCCTGACAAAAGTTTAAATGAGTACAAAAACGTGGAATTAGCTGAAAAAGCTAAAATTGACATTTAAAAACAGCTAAAATTAGCTTGAATAGTAGAAAAAGCTTAAACTTTCAGAAATCAGCTGAAAGGAGCATAAGAAGCTGAAATTAGCAGAAAGAAATTAGAAGCACAAAAGTCTTGTAGTTAGTAGAAATAATCTAAAAGGAGCACAAAACAGCTGAAAAACAGTTGAAATTAGCTGAAAGAAATTAAATGTGCACAAGGAAGCTAAAAGAAGCCGAAGCAGAACAAAATGTGAAAGGAGCAGTAAAAGGTTGTAACAGATCCAAAGATATGAAGGATGTAAAATGAGCTCAATTCATTTTCTATGAGGAAAAAATGTCAGAAAAGGCTAAATATTTCAAACAGCTAAAGTTGCACCAATACCAAAAGTCACAGCAGGATTGTCCTGAATGAGCCGAACGTTTTGATTCATGATTTGTTGAAATAGCACAAAAATTGTGGAACGAGAAACGTGCTGAAACACGTACAGAAGGAAAATGGATCACAACAGAGTGAACGCTTCATAAACATCAGCACAATAATAAAATCTAATTGTTTTAAGTTTATAATAGTGAAAGTCTGTTAATTTGATCAACATATCATGAACTATTATACGGATTTTAATGAAGCTTGTAGTGAGATCATCGTTGGCTGTGCGTCTACAGCTGATTACATTTAGGAGTCAACCCCATTCAAGATGGCTGCCACAACTAACTGACTTTAAACAACGCAAAAACAGCTAAAACTGTCCGTTTTACAGATGTTGACCTAAACTGTGGTGTGGTAGTAGCTGAAACTGATCCACAACAGATGTTCCGAGTGCTAAGCATTATTGCAGTGATTTTATTTAAAACTCGGACTTACAGACTGACATGAAACGCGTTCCTTCGTGGGCTTTTCATCATTTTATGTTGGTGTTGCTGGTTTTCAACACAGACGGGTTTAGAAGAAGAGCAGCAGATGGAAGAGCCTTGACGTGAGTCTTCTCGGACCCTGGCTGACTGACGCGTTTGTACTCGGTGTTGATTTACAAAATGTTCAGACAGCGGTTCCAACATCCTCGAAACACGACCGTCTGAAACTAAAACAAGTGCTCGGTGAGATGGGATCGGGATCAGTTGTCCTCTCACGTTACGTCTTCGTGTCTCGTTTGGTCTACAGAAAACCAAGAATGGAGTTTGGCTCCTCGTGATGCTGAAGCTCGTCCCGGTCCCTTTGGCCAAGTTCCTGATCCACAGCGGCCTCGTCAAACGCCTGTCGTTCTTCTTCAAAATGGCCCCCCGCAGCCTGACGGATGTGGTCAACGGGCTGACCCAGAACCAGGACCTCAGGGCCGTACTGTCCTACATCTTTGGCACCTACGGTACGCCAGGCTGCAGCTCTTCTTTGCTCCACGAGTCAAACCGGTCAGCGCCAGACTCCTCAAGGTTTTTCAATCTGCAGGGAACATGCCAAAAGATGCCAGCTTCGCCATGCACAGCTTGCTGGTGACCCACTACCTGAACGGCGCCTGGTACCCTAAAGGTGGCTCCAGTGAAATCGCCTATCACATGATCCCCATCATAGAGAAGGCAGGAGGCGCCGTTCTGGTGCGGGCCCCGGTGAACCGGATCCTAGTCAACGACGCAGAGGAAGCTTGCGGTGAGTGCTTGAGCCCGTTCAGCCGCTGTGAACGCAGAGTCTCGGTCACGGTGCTCGTTTCTTCTGGTTTCAGGTGTGAGTGTGTTGAAAGGTCAGGAGGAAGTGCACGTCCACGCGCCCGTGATCATTTCTGACGCCGGCGTCTTCAACACCTACGAGAAGCTGCTTCCCAAGGAGCTCCGAGCCACGCCAGGTCAGACGGGACTCGCAGCGTAACTCCGTTTCATAACTATTGGGTTCACGTTTGTTGTGGTAGTAGCTGAGAGTCCTTCACAACCACTGCTTGTGTGTTGCGTCGTTTTACGGCTACGACTCTGTCGTTTCTCAACGATCTTTCACGAAAGGCGTCGGGCGAGGAACGTTTTCGCCTCCAATAGTTTGAACTCTCATTCTCACTATTGTGATCCATTTTTCTTCCGTACGTTTTTCAACACGTTTCTCGTCGCGCAGTTTACAAACTATTTCAACAAGTCATGAATCAAAACGTTCGGCTCATTCAGGACAATCCTGCTGTGATGTTTGGTATTGGTGCAACTTTAGCTTTTTGAAATATTTAGCCTTTTCTGATGTTTTTTCCTCATAAAAAAATGAAATCACCTCATTTTACCTCCTTCAGATGTTTAGATCTCTGTACAACTTTTTACTGCTCCTTTCACATTTTGTTCTGCTTCAGCTTCTTTCAGCTTCCTTGTGCACATAAAAAAAAAAAATTCAGCTACTTTCAGCTCATTTCAACAGTTTTTAGCCGTTTCGTGATCCTTTTAAATTCTTTCGGCTAACTACAACATTTTTGTGCTACTTCTAAGTTCCTTCTGCTAATTTCACCTTGTTTCTGTGCTACAGCTTTTTCTTCAGCTACTATTTAGCTGTTTTGATAATTTAAGCCTTTTCAGCTAATTCCACATTTTTTGCACTCATTTCAACTTTTTTCAGTTTAATTCAGCAAAAATGTGCTCTCTCCACTTCTTGTAATTTCATTGTCTTTTTGCTTTTTGAGCTACCTTTCAGCTGTTTTTGTTAGTGGGTAAATTCAATTTTTCTTCAATAATTTCCACTTTTTTGTGCTAATTTCTGCTTCTTTCAACAAACATCTTCTTTCTTTTGCTAATTTAAGCTTGTTCTAACTTTTCAGCTACTTTTATTTAGCATTTTAAGCTAATTTCAGCTGTTTTCAGATAAATTCAAGTTATTTGTGGTAATTTCTGCTACTTTCAGCTTATGCTCCTTTCAGTTTTTGATGCCATTTCAGCTACTTTTTTAGTGGTTTTTGTGCTAAATTTAGCTTTTTTTTTCAGCTGATTCCACTTTTTTTTTTTTTTTTAGCTCATTTCAGTTCCTTCCACTTCCTTCTAGCTTCTTTCTGCCTTTTCAGCTACTTTTCAGCATTTTTGTTGTTGCTGATTTCAGTTTTTGTAGTTGGTTTCCTAATTTTTTGCTGATTTCAGCTTATTTAAACCAAATTCAGCAAATCTGCTTTCTTCTGCTAACTTAGGATCGTTCTTCCATTACAGCTAAATTTCAGCATGTATTTCGTTAATTTCAGCTGTTTTTCCACAAGTTCTTCAGCAATAAGCGTTCACAATGCATTTTAACAGGAAATGCAATTCCTCTAGTTTTTATTCATGTTTGTTTGTTTTAATGTATATTTAATAATTTAGTCCTGAACATGTTCCAAACAAATAAAAACAACCAGGAAACAGAGAAAAGTTGTAAATCTTTGCAGCTGAGAGGCTAAAACTGAAACTGAGACGTTGAAATCAGCGCTCGCTGCTCTCGTTTCTGTTTGTATTTTATTTTTATTTTTTAAAATGTTTCTAACGAGTCTTTGTGCTGTTCTGGGACTCTCTGCCTTCCAGCCGTCCAGGAGCAGCTCGCGATGGTCAAACACGGTGAAGGCGGCCTGAGTATCTTTATGGGTCTGAACGGAACCAAGGAAGAGCTGGGCCTGAAGGCCGACAACTACTGGATCTTTGCCGACAGCAACTTTGACGAGCTGTACGGTTCCGTGTTAACTCCCGTGACGGCGGAGCCAAATAAACGCTGGCTCTGACTCCGAGACCAGAACTTCATCTGCGAGGACGTGTAACTTTAAAAGTTACAAGAATTTTCTGTTTTCTTTAAAGGGTGGAGAACTACATGAGCAAAGACAGGGAGGAGTCTGCTAAAAACATTCCTCTGCTGTTCGTCGCCTGTCCATCAGCTAAAGACCCCACCTGGGAGGAGAGATCACCAGGTAAGGCGAATTTATTCCCATCGCACATTTCAGCTTTACATGGATAATTAAAAAACACAGTGACGAAGTGCAAAACAACAATAAAAGCATAAAAAGCACGGGATGAAATGATGCGTTGCTTTAATCGAAGGCAGCAGCAGCGAACAGGACGGTCTTCAGCCTCGTTTTGAAGGACCTCGCACTCCGGTAGTTTCCTGTGAGTTTCTTCCAGATGTTTGGAGCGTAAAAGCTGAAGGCAGCTTCTGCGTGTTTGGTTCTGATCCTGAGGACAGAGAGCAGATTTAAACCGGACGATCAGAGGTGCATTTTGGACCCAGTCCCTGTAGTTCGTAAACTATGAACAAGATTTTAAAATCAACGTGAAGCCAGAGCAAAGACCTCACAGCTGGACAGCAGCAGCTGTTTGATGGACTTTCATGAAAACCAGCATATAGTCCGTTACAATCTAATCTATGTGGCTTACGACAAATGCACGAACGAGTTGTTCTACGTCTTGCAGAGACCTCGACCCATTAATTCTTGCGGTATTCTTCAGGTGGTAGAAGGCCGTCCGTCTTTTTGTCTTTTCTGTCCAGACTCAGGTCAGAGTCCACGATCACTCCAAGGCACTAAATAAAGGTTGAATGAATGGAAAAGGTTTCTGGCTTCGTCTGAGCCTTTTAGCACCACGGACTCCAGGTGTGTGCTCATGTTTGGTCCTAGCTACAAAAACTATACTACAGTAGTCCCTCGATTATCGCGGGGGTCATGTTCCACCCCCACGATAGATAAAAAACACAAACGCTGTATTTATTTTAGTATTTATATTTATTTAAGGCTTTATAAACCCTTCTTGCAACGTTCTAAACTCTTAAACCTACGTCATTTTAACAACATGCGTGTATGTACTGCAACATTTTATATGGGGACTCGCCGGTCTTGGTCCGGTTCTGATCGGCTCTCTGCAGCCGTTGAGCACCAGACGCTTTTGGAGAGAGCCAGACCTACGGAGAGCCAGCACAAAACCACACAATGGTCCAGACGGAGTCCAAATAATCCTGAGGAATCTGATGAATAAAATCCGGGTGAGCTCCGGAGAAGGCACCGGACCTCCAAGCAACGCCTCCCCGCTCGAGAGGCTTCATGGGCCGGCACACGGCTCTCGGCTTGACCGATGAGGCTGGAGGTCCGGTTCTGGTCCGGTTCTGATGGTCTCTCTGCATCCGCTGAGCGCACTGAACTTTATAATCCAGTTTGGATCAGATCAAAACTTTCCCAACGCTTCAACAGAAAGCAGAGGCTGGAAGCAGTGATGGCTTCTGGGTAGTGTAGTTCTTTTGACTGGCTTTACAGTATAGGCTCATTGAAAGAAAACTACAAAATGGCGGCGCTTGTCTGAAGTATTTTTTTCCGTTAACTTTTTATCCCGCATCGTCCCAATCACGTGAGTAATATTAAAGTTGACTATTGTTGAAAAACTGCGAAAGTCAAACGGTGAAGTAACGAAGAACAACTGTACTTCACTTTTCTCTTTGTCACGCTGAAGAAACACATCCAGTGGAGTATTCGTCCAGTCCACTCACTAAGTGCTCGTATTAAATATACCCTCATCCGAAGTCACATTGTGTTTTATCCTGTACCCCCCCGGTTTAATGATTTTCATCTTTTTAGGAAAGTCTACTTTGAGTCTGGTGAGTTTTGCTAAATATGAGTGGTTTGAGGAGTGGAAGGATGACAAAGTGAAGAACCGAGCGCCGGATTACAAAGAGCTGAAACAAGCGTTCATCGACTCGGCCCTGGAGGTGGTGATGGATGTGTTTCCTAAGATCACCAGAGACAAGGTGAACACTTTGGAAGCTTCTAATGTCTCGGAACAAGATGAAAACATTAATGCTCGTCCTACTTTTACCGTTTCGTGCTTTCCTTGTGTTGGACCCAAAATCCATTCAGACATTTTTTGTGTTTTCTATAACAAACATTTATAAACGGATCATCATCTGGAGGTTTTTCATTTAAATCGGTGCTGACTGAGTTACAGCATTAATGATGTTTTACACTTCGGATGAGCGCTCGCACTCGTGCAAACACATTTTCAAAGTCTGAAAACTGAACAAGCTTGTAGGAAGGTTTTCTTTAACACGGTTCCTGTGAAGTTCTGAAAAGTTTGGCCTGATTTTTAGTATTTTCCAGACCTGGATGAGTATGGAATAAGAAAAAGGTTTGCATAAATATTTGTGCATTGAGATTCTAAAAACTAAAAATATCCGAGCACAATAATTTGCTCAACTCCCATGATGCTTTGCACCCCGGTCCTGAGTCTTCTTGGATGGGAGCATTTGTTCTTCTAAAATCTGTACGTGCTTTTCTGGATTGATGGTGCCTTTCCAGACGTGTAAGCTGCCCATGCTAAAACGCACTAATGCACCCCCATACCATCAGAGAGGCTGGCTTTTGAACTGCGAGTCTGTAACGGGCCGGACAGTCTCTTTACTCTTCAGTATGGAGGATGTGGTCCTTTTTGAGGCGTGTTGCTGCCATAAAAACATTTTTTCCAAAATTAAATTTTTTAAAATTTCAACATTGACGTTTATCGCGTTCCGCTGTGAATAAAAAAAAATGGGTTAACGAGATCTGAAACTCTTCGTATAGTTTTTTTTTTACATTTTACTCAACGTCCCAACTTTTTAGAAACTGGGGTTGCATCAGGGGTTCTTAATGTTTCATGTCATTGAAATGTTTTTATTCAAGATATTATAGAACTTGTTCCTCCGTTTTCTTAGGTTTAGTGGAGCTCTAAAGCAAATATGTGAACAGTACAATGTTCTGGTTCAGAAGTACTGGTTACAGCTCTTTAAATATGTAGATTAACTTTAGATTGTAGAATTTGAGTCACACACCAAACATCTGACAGCTTCACCTTTAAACGTGAGAAATTATACGTTTCCGCTTTATTTTATAACGGCTGAAACCAGGCCAGCACGGTGTTTTTAGTATATTTGGTATTAATAATGTTTAATTGCTTCTTTTTATACAGATTGAGTACATTGATGCTGGAACCCCCATCACAAACACGCACTATATCGGAGCTCCCAAAGGTGAGATCTATGGTGTGGATCACGGCATCGCTCGATTTAGTCCTGAGCTCAACGCTACAATAAGACCTCAAACGCCTCTGAAGAACCTCTACCTGACAGGTGCGTCCTTCTCTGCCTCGTTATACAAACCACACCGTCATTTTTATACATTTACTCCACCCAATGTGTTGTTTGTTTCACAGGTCAGGACGTGTTTCTGTGCGGTTTCGCCGGCGCCCTCGCAGGAGCTCTCACCTGTGGCTCAGTCATTCTCAACCGCAACCTCCATCTGGACACCATCGCCTTGGCCAAAAGAACCAAAACCTTTAACAAGTCGAAAGAGGAGTAGCTGCTGATTTATGTGCTCCAATTAAGCAGCGCTCTGCTGAAACACTGCAGCTCAACGTCAATAAGAGACCCCATCTAATATTAACTGTTTCAGCTAAAATAAAGGGGAATGTATCTGTACTAGCAGGACACTTTACCTGTGCTTCACCTGCTTTAATCTGGGTTTAACAAGTTGGTTGGTTAAAAAAAAAAAAAGCACTTTTCTTGCTAATTGCACTTAAAAAAATGTTTGTCCGACTTGTTCATGTGAACCACTTTGTGCTTTACTCCCTGAATTCAGCTTTGTTTTATTGTTTTAACTGATCAAAGTTTATAAACATTAAATTTGTACAACTTTGTGTTTGTTGTTGTTAAACGTATGCACAAAAAATATAAAGTTAATCATTTACTGCTTTTTGGGTTTGTTTTGGTTCTTGTTGTGACAATCCTCTCACTGGAAAACAAACACCTCGCCTTTTTTTTTTTGTGTGTGTGTTTACACATGACTGACTGCATTTGAACGCACCATACCTTTACATAGGCTGCAACGGGAGCACGTGCGCGGAGAGTGTCAGTAAAATGTTAAAGTTTAAGCTCTGTGATTAGTTGAAGGATTATGGGGGTGTGAAATTTTTTTTTCATATTTTTTTTTTTTTAAATATGCAAAGACAACTTTCTGCCGCTGGCGGGCGGTGCAGATTGAACGCTGAGCTGTCTAAGGTAAACAAACAAAAAATAAATAACAGCTAGTTCAAAGTTTGTGTTTATAAATACTCTTATTATGACAAGTGATAATTCTTTTGTTTTTTATTTCAGTGACAGGTAGTTTTTACCTGCTGATTATTAACCTTTGAAATGCATCCGTTAGCCTAGCTACTTATCATTAGCCTAGCTACTTATCATTAGCCTACAATCATATGTATCATTGTAATTTGAGATTGTCATTTGTTGTTCTATTTGTGTTCTTTTGTTCTGTATGTTCAGTAGTTCAATAAAGTTAAAAAAAAAAACTTTTCATTAGCCTAGCTACTTATCATTAGCCTAGCTACTTATCATTAGCCTAGCTAGTTTTCATTAGCCTAGCTACTTTTCATTAGCATAGCTAGCTAACAAGGAAAGAAGGCCTCAACTTTAATTCAACGTTTTTAGGCCTAAAACTCGACATTTTTCGTGATGTTCAGGTCGACCGGGGCTGAGTTTGGAGGAGAATGAACGAACTGGTTAGACCGTTGAGCTATGAGGTCCTGGCGGAGGTCGGGGAGGGCTCCTTCGGTAAGGTGTACAAGGCGCGAGAGGTCGGGGGGACGCAGCGCCTCCTGGGGGTGAAGAAGGTGAACTGCCGCTGGGGTTCGACGGAGGCCGGGATCCCCCCCTTCATGATCCGGGAGGTGGCTCTGCTGCGCAAAATGGGCTTCTTCAACCACCCGAACGTCGTCAAGTAGGTCCATGTTTATTTATTTTACCAACTAAGAGACGTTTTATCTTTACATGCATCTGAATGCAGGCTGATTTATTTTGTCATCTAACTGAAGTTTAACTCAACTGCACACGTTTATCGAAAAGTCAGTCAACTCCACTTGTCTGGTCTCGGAGGCAACAGCCGGAGCAGGGAGGCCCAGTCATCTCTCTGCAAGTCCGCAGTACTGCAGAAGCTGCACCGATCCGTCTTGTTGAACTCGCGCTCCTCTCTTCCCTCACTCCTGAACAAAACCCTGAGATATTTGAAATCCTGCACCTGACCAGCCCACACCTGGTCACATTACAGCTACAACTTCTGGGTTCTCCTCGGATTACTACTTTTTTACAGCTATTTTTGTGCTGCAAAAACAAACAAAGAAATCGACACAAAAAGCTGTTTGATGGAGCATCAGATACAGATTCTGCCAGCTGTTAAAAATACATCAATAAACGTTAAAGTCTGACGCTACAGCTGCACTGAAGCTTTAACTGAGTGAACAAACTCCCCGTGTTGAATCTTTAATGTGAGCTAGAAGAACAGCCCTACGTTTTCTCTTTAGACTTTATCTGCTGCTGTTAAACATGTTGAACGTTGTTTAAACTCCTCAGAACACAGATTGTGGTGTTCAGTCGACTTTTAAAGTCGGTTACCCCTTAAGGCAGGGCTATTCGACTAATTGCTCACGGGGCCACAGTTACTGGAAGCCAAGAGCTCAGGGGCCGGACATCCAGCACTTATTAAGTTTATTTTATGGTTTAAAATCTTGTTTTATTTAAAAACATTGTTTCCTCCACCATTATTCAACAGGGTACCCGCTCTGTCAACAGAAGTGATGCCCTGCCTACTGACCCCCCTCCCCTCCGTAGACAACTGCCAGCACTGACGTAGCGGCACACGATAACGGTGCTAGCTAAAAAGCTCAGTTTCCCCTTACTCTTAGCCGTCTTCCCCCCCCCCCCCGCCCCCGCCCCCACACACTCGAAAACTGTCGGTACAAACCGCACGCAACAACCGTCACCCCCGCCCCCCATCGTCTTAAGACATGGAAGCAATGAGCGCCCTGCTAAGGCACGTAACCTAGGGAGAACACGGAGAAATGAACCCATTGGTGGGCCGAACTGAGTTCACTCGTGGGCCTGATTTGGCCCCCGGGCCGCCAGTTGAAAAGCCTTGCTCGAAGGCATGTGCATGAAAACCACGATTTCAGACTCAAGTTTTAGATGAAAAACGTGAAACAAATGGATCAAAGTTCATGCTTAATAAGCCAGTTAAAAAAATAAATAAATCCAGCAAAGTTAAGTCATGTCCTCTGGACGGTTTCTTATTTTGTTGAGACGTTTTGTCCTTCATCCAAAGGACTTCATCAGCCACAACAAACTCGGTTCTGTAAGTGGTTTACTCACATACTGGGCCACTTGATGTTGGTTGATGTTTTGAATCTTTGGCTGTGGCGGACTCCAAAAACCATCTTCTCACCATAAAACTGGTTGGCCCACTATGAGTAAGCCACCTATGGGATAGAGTTTGTTGTGGCTGACGAAGTCCTTTGGATGAAAGACGAAACATTTCTACAAAAAAAAGAAACCGTCCAGAGGACCTGACTTAACTTTGTTGAAACAAATAGTTGTTTTTCCATTGTTGATTGGAGAATGAATTCTGAAAGATGCAAACAAAATTATTTTTTTTTACCAAAGAATGGGTAAAGACTTAAATATCTAATTTTTGTGGCCAAAGTCGTTGTCGTTTCTGTAAAAATGAGTAAAAATGCTGTGAAAGGTAAGAAGAAACCAACTTAAATGCCAGAATTTAATTTGTATTCTGAAGATGAACGCGTCAGAAATCCTCCAAACACACAAAAATCAAAATAAAAACCTCACTTTTAATAAATAGCTCGACGCTTGATGTGTGACAACGTTTGAGGTTATTAAAGATTCTCGAGTCACGCCACGTTCTGCTAAAAGTCCGTTTAGGATCCGTTAGTTTCTCAGTTCGGTGGTTCTATTTATTTTAACTTGCAGAGTTGTGTCAAAACGTCTCGACCTGTTCGTTCTGCAGACTTTTGGATGCGACCGCCGTGTCGGTCGGCTCCACCCTGGACCTCACTCTCGTGCTGGAGTACGTAGATCAGGACCTGTCCACCTACCTCTCAAAGGTTCCTGCATCGGGTCTGAGCCGCGGCGTCATCAAGGTGGGCCCTCCAGATCTGCTTGGACTTTTTATTTAACGCTGCAGCTTCTGGGTGGGTGTAATGTCTGGTGTCGCTCTCAGGATGTGATGCTGCAGCTGCTGCGAGGACTGGACTTCCTCCACACAAACCTTGTGCTGCACCGGGACCTAAAACCTGAGAACATCCTGGTGAGTAACCGTGGAGAAGTGAAGATCGCAGACTTTGGACTGGCTCGGCTCCACACCTTCAACATCTCTCTGACACCAGGTGTAAGTGTTCCTGCGGTCGCACAAAACGCACAGTCGGCTCTTCAGCTTGAGGTGTGAGCCTCTTGTTGTCCTCCTGCTTCTTCTCAGGTGGTGACTCTGTGGTATCGAGCTCCTGAAGTGCTGCTGAACACCGTTTACATGTTCTCCGTGGACATGTGGAGCGCCGGCTGCATCTTCGCCGAGCTTTTCCTCCTGAGGTCAGAACGATCCGACGCCGGGGTTTTGTCTGAACTCGCATGAGACTTTTTTTTGTGATTCTATAAAATAAAGAATAAATGAACCTTTCCTGATCTTTCACTTCGCAGGCCGTTGTTTAAAGGATACACGGAGGTGCAGCAGCTGCACAAGATCTTCGAGTGAGTCATCGAGTGAATGCTGAGTCAGCGTTTCCTGTTTTATTCTTTTTCTGCACGTTTTTGCAAACTAGCTACTTGTGCATTCTTTTTGCTGTTTTAGCTAACATCAAAACTTTCAGCTCGTTTTGGAGACGGCTTATGCTTTTTTGTAACTTTTACACTTTTAAAAACACTTCACTTTATTTACTAATATTTTAACATAAAATATGGATTCCTTTACTTCTTTCTAAATCTTTGTTCCCTTAAAATCTGCTTCAGCTACTGGCCCCAGTTTTATCTTTTGCTATGTTTAGCCAGCAGTCTGAAACTTTTAGCTTCTAAAACGCCTTTTGTTACTTTTAGCTAACCTTTTGCTATTTAAGTCAGCCTTTTCCTGCTTTAGGGTTGCCTTTTGTTACTTTTAGCCACCATTCTGCTACGATTAGCTTTTAGCCAACATTTTGCTACTTTAGCTTGTCTTGTGTTTTTTTTTTAGCTTTTGGTTAGCCTTTTGCTACATTTGGGCACTTTTCTGTTACTTTTAGCTTCTTGAAAGCCTTTTGTTACTTTTAGCTAACCTTTTGCTATTTAAGTTGCCTCTTGCCACTTTTAGCCAACATTTTGCTACTTTAGCGTGTCCTATGGTTGTTATCTTTAGTCTGCTGCTTTCAGCTTTTGGTTAGCATTTTGCTACATTTAGGCACTTTTCTGTTACTTTTAACTTCTGTCTAGACGTTTTTGCCTCTTTCAGTTTGCCTTTTGCCACTTCTAGCTTTTAGTTAGCCATTTGCTACAGTTAGCCACTGATCTCATAGTAGCTAGCCTTTAGCTACTTTTTGCTTGCCTTTTTCTTCATTTTGCTTTCAGTTAGGACTTTGCGATTTGTAATCTGTGTTTTGCTTTTTTTTATTTCGCAGTTCAAATGTTGCTACCTTCAGCTTGCCTTTTGCTTCATTTAGGCACCAATCTGCTACTTTTACCTTCTAGCTAACATTTTTCTTCCTTTAGCTATCTTTTTTCTACATTTAACTTCTAGCTAGCCTTTTGCAACTTTAACTTTTTGCAACTTTTAGCTAGCTTTTGTCTACCGTTATAACTTTTAGTCTTTTTGCTACATTTAGGCACTTCGGCTGCTTTCAGCTTTCACCTAGCCTTTTGCTACCTTTTGGCTTTCAGCTAGCGTTCAGCCTTTTTCCGATTTAAGAACTCCTAAACCTAAACTTTGTTAGATTTGCAGTTTCCTGTTTTGTTTTTTCGTTCAGGGTGATCGGTTTGCCCAGCGAGGAGGACTGGCCCCGGGACAGCCCCGTCTCGTTCTCAGAAAGCTGGGGGCCCAGAGGGTCCTGCACCAAGCTGCTCCCCAACCTGGACCCCGACGAGAACGACCTCCTGTCTGTAAGCTCAGCTGTGCAAATGTTTTAAACCGACCGTCCGCATCTCCTGCGGGCGGAGGCAGGCGATGATGTCGTCTAGTTTGTGTGATGTTTTCTCGGGTCCGTAATCAAAACGATGGCGTCGGCGCTAAAACTGTTGATTTTCTTCAATCTGTGACCGACGTCTCCTTTTCTCCGCAGCAGTGTTTGGTGTTCAGCCCAACGGGTCGCATCTCCGCCGCCAAAGCTCTGACTCATCCTTTCTTTGTGAAGAACTGAAGAGTTTTGTCCATTTGAGGAGCAGGAGGTAAAATTCTGCTGAATCCCTGCAGTTCGACATATTAACTGGTTTCATGCCTTTAAAATTCACTGAAAACGTAAAGAAACTCCCGAACCATCATGAAAACCGAGGTCTGAGGTGCAGAAACTCAAGCTATAGGACCTATTTTTGATATTTTATCAAACCTCAAACCTTTTATCTGTTAATGTTTGAAAAATTACTTCAATGTGAGCGTTTATGGAGTTAAGATAAAAGTGAAAGTCTGTTTTGTTCTCACTGAACGTAGAACTTGTTTGTTACAATAAAAAAAAAACGATTCTGTTTGTTTAGATGCTGCAGATAAAATATGGTGAGCGCCGTTAGTTTAAGGAGTTGTTTTACTTTCACTGGTGTAGTCGTTTAATGTGTTTAAAGGAACTTCGGTGGATCTTTTTCTTTTAGGTATTTATGGTGTTTTGATGCAGAAAGCACCTGTATTTATGTTTTTGTACAAGACATTTTTCTACACAAGTTCTGTTCGTTCATGGAGCATTTCTATAAACGACTGTTTGAACCTGGTTCTGGTTGTCATGTTCTGAATCATGTTCTGAAGTCGATTGTTTGCAGATCCAATGTATCGAGGAAGAGGGCGCCCTTGGGCCGTTATTAGTTTCTGCAGACCTCTAATGTAAAGGTCTACGTCTTCAGTTTGAGTTGTTTGCACACGTTTGGTCACAACGGACGTTAGATTAGGAGGAACCGCCTGAGAACACCGTCTCATCTGTGAAGCACGGAGGTGGCAGCATCATGTGGGGGGTTAACTGCACTTCACTAAATGGTGAGGTTTTTATGGAAACAGCTACATAAGCCAGGTCTTCCATCAGGTCTCACATGTAAATGAGTCCCCAGGATTAACCTGTCTCATTGGGATTAACCTGTCTCATTGGGATTAACCTGTCTAAATAAAGGTTGAATGAAAAAACCAGGTCTTCCAGTTGGACGATCACCCACAGCCCAGTTAGTTACAAAGTGGCTGGAAGCTGTTTTAGCTGTCAAATATATTTATGAGAAACATTTTTTAAGTTTTATTAATGGGTGGAGGGCACACTTACTGGGTTAATGGGTGGAGGGCACACTTACTGGGTTAATGGGTGGAGGGCACATTTACTGGGTTAATAATGGGTGGAGGGCA